TTTTATTTGCTCAGTAGATCAAGCTAGCCATGCTAGGCTCCGAGCTAGCTACATCTAGCTAGCTAGATATTCTCGGCCGCTCTGAAAACGTTTTGACTTGTGAATAACTGTGCAGTGTTTCTGTAATTTGCTTCACTAACTCATGGCACTAATCGTGTGTTTCAGGCGAGGATGGACAACTCTCGGGATTGGAAACAAGCAAGCTTTGCATTCTAGATCACAGCGCCTCGTCCTCCTTACCAGCAACCAAACGCAAAGGTACACATACTGTAACTTTGTCTTGAAAGAACGTTACGCATCGAACTGATGTTCACAATCATGTTTATTTCATAATATTCATCATATTTTATGTTTAACTTGCCTCAACAACATTAAACAAAGTTCAAGCATACATGAAGCACTCTTCAAAAAGGAACAATCCTCCGTGTTTGAACCTCTTGAATCGCTGCATAGCCGATTTATTTGGACTGGATTATCCCAGAGAGGCCAAACATTCTTTATAACACAGTTTCAGATTTGTGAAACCTTAATTCTATTTGTGAAAATACAAAAAAGGGAGATTTCAGTGCTTTTTTTACATGTAGACCACATTAGACCACATTAGACCAGGTCCTGATCTAAAACCACTATACCTAGACTCATCAAATCTGGACTGGATTATCCCAGAGAGTCAAAAGATTCTTTAGAACACAGTTTCAGATTTGTGAAACCTTAATTCTATTTGTGAAAATACAAAAAAACATTCCTAGTATGTTGTAAAACTACATGGCGACTAAACAGATCTTGTATCTTGCTTATTTTCCCCTCTTAGGAAAGCGGACACGGGATGCGAATTTTTTTGACACCGCCCAGGTGTTGGAGGACCGGCGTGCCGTGGTGAATGAGTCGCTGCGTGGAGATCAGATGGTGCTGTTCACCAAGGCCCAGGAAACGGAGGACAAGATGCTCACCTCGATGGAGCGCCAGGCAGAAGTGTTCAAGCAGCAGATGGAGCGCCAGCAGCACCAGGATGAAGTGTGGGCGCTGCGCCATGAGGAAGCGTCGGCGCAGCGGCAGGATGAGCGACAAACTGCATTTAATAACAGTTTATTTGGTATAGTTTTTGTAAATGTAAATACTGACACACGACACACAACGTTGCACTAAGGTGTGTATGCTGCTGAGAATATCCCTACACCTGGGACAGTTTATTTTATATTGTTATTACTGTTATGACTTTATTTTATATATAATGTTTACTGACATGTACAACTGACACTTTATTTACATTTAAAATTGTTCTATTTAATGTTATGTCTTGAGAGTGCAATAAAGAAAACCGACATGGCGATTAAGCTTATTTCTCCTGACACTTTATCTTTAGTGACCTGTGTAGCATCCTATACATCACATGTAAGTGATTATTCTGATACCATCATGTTTCATCGGTTATAAACTGGCAAAGCTTTATTTGTCATTTATTTATCATCAATGTTGCAACCTTGTGGGGGAATAGCAGGGGCACATACATAAATATGATAATTTATATCATTTTAAATATTATTTGACCTAAACTTTTAATTCCCCCCCATTTCACACAACACAACATGGAGTCCACTATGGGCCAAAACTAACATGTATGTTTGCATAGTGTTTATGGCAGACGGATGCAGTGGGTCTCAGGAAGATATATAATAAAGGTGGGTTTGCTGCTGAGACTCCCTACAGCTGGGACAGTTTATTTTATATTATTATTACTGTTATTATATAGTACAACTGACACTTTATTTTATATTGACAATGTTTACTGACATGTACAACTGACACTTTAGTTACATTTAAAATATTTCTATTTAATGTTATGTCTTGAGAGTGCAATAAAGAAAACCGACATGGCGATTAAACAGATCCTGTATCAGCCATCCTACGGCGAAACATGGCAGTCATGTGTGCTTTCCGTCGGCCAATCCTTTTCCTAAAGCTTTTGAACTGCCTTTGATGCTGAAGAAACTTTGCGATTATAGCATTCGACGTGTGGCGGCTCCGGATTTTTGTCGGACGCCTAATAGGCTCAGGCTCTGGTCGCATTAACGAAGTTACAAAGCTGTATAACATGAGCACAAACAGCACAACTCCAGTCGACTCCATCTCCATCATGTCTGAGGTCGGAAGGTAAACAACAGACAGTATACGCGGGAAGTTTTTCTTCTTCTCTTGTTTTGTAGCGGATTGCAAACAACTTTAAGGTGCTTACCGCCACCTACTGTACTTGTAATCTTCCCTCAGGGAAAAGTACTCCGGTGTGAACGCGATCTGTACTAAGTGCCCTGGGGTTAAAAGGGCCAGGGCTCTTAGTGCCGGAACTAAGTACAGGAAAGTACTTGGTGTGAACGCGGCTATTGTAATGTTCTAGTAAACATGAAACATTTAAAAAAAAAAACAGAATTGTATTTATATTTTGCTGGCTACTGCAGAATGCTGTGGTAGCCTTGCCGGTTAAGTGAGCCTTGAATTCTGAATAAATCACCAACAGTGACACCAGCAAAGCCGTTTCTTAAAGTGATGATGGACGGTCGTTCCTCTTCAACGAGGTGAGTCGTTCTTGCCATACTATGGATTACAACAGTAGTCAAATAGGGCTTTCCACTGTGCACTAACCCTACCTCTGCACAACACAACTGATGGTCTCAAACACATTCAGAAGGCAAGTAATTCCACAAATGGCATGACAACCGCATGAAGCTGACTGAGAGAAGCCAAGAGTGCAAAGCAGTCATCAAGGCAAAAGGGGGCTACTTTGAACAATCTAAATAAAAAATCATATTCTGGATTTCTTCAACACTTTTTTGACTAGATAATTCCATATGTGTTCTTTCATAGTTTTGATATGGTACCGGGCATCTGAGAGCTTCTTAACATTTAACAAACTTGGAATGTGTCATACTCACTTAACGGGAAGGAACTCAGCTATCAGACATTAACCATTTTTAGCTAAACGTAACACCAGGGTAATAACAAAGGCTCTGAATAAGCCCAGAGCGAAGAAATGCTAACGCACCTAGCACAGAACTCACGGTAAAATACCCTTATTACTTATCGGATCTGCACAAACAAGATATCGATTAGCAAGCTGAGATTCCACAGATTCCAGACATATACGTATCATCACTGAGCGATCAAAACTCGAGTTTCTTCCCGTTAAGTGGGAATGACAAAGAAGCACAGTTTCGTGAATATTGTTGTGTTTTGCCCCCGGAGGCGGGGGCATTGGGTTTATTAACCTGTTGAGCTTTTTTTTCACTAAACTGTGTCTCAGGGCTTCTTAACATTTGACAACCTATTAATGTGTCATACCCTATTAACGGGAATAATCTAAGCTAACTGACGATATGAACCATTTTTACTGAAACAAAACACAAGTCTAACGACGAGAGTCTGAATTAGCACCAAGCGAAAGAGTGCTAACGCACTTAGCACATAACTCACGGTAGAAATATGTTATACTTCACCGGGTCTGCACAAACAAGATATCATGGAAGCTGATATTCCACAGATTCCAGAGGTATAAGTATCTTCACTGAGCGACAAAAACTTGCGGCAGCGAAGGCGAAACCAGACAACACACAACTTAGCTTTACGTCTTACCTTTGCTTTTTTCTGATCAAAAGTTGTGTTCAATGGCATTAAAACGCATAACATTGCTGCTGAAGGTTAATCCAATGTTTCTGTGTCCCTTTGAAATGATCACTGATAATCCATCATCATATTTATGGCAATAAACCTAGTTTTGAGAGCGTAACATAGCTTTCGGTTTGGGCAAGCTGCGTGCGCATCACTCTCACTCCTCAATGGTAACGTGTAGGTGGATTTAGGAACTTCCCCCTCGATTCTATTAGCTATAACGGTTAAAAAGAAGTGTCAATCACCAAAATCGACCAATGGGTTCCAGAGAAACGGCAAATACACCTAAATGACCCAAGAGGTGGGTTTTTTTTTCTAAACCTCTCTAAAAAGGTCAAATTTAACTTGTTTTGCATCAATCTTGATACAGGGTACTTATATGTTATAGTTTGGATTCCTAAAGCTTTTAGTCTACTATCCCATCATTCAAGGGTGGTTTTCACTATAAGTAATGGGTATTTTTTGGACGGACTTAAATTTGTTTACCATGTTCAATCTGAATTTACTTTAAAATAAAAACATCTATATTGATTCTGACTTTTCTACATCCAACTCACAGGTTTATCATTGCTTTGAGAAAAAAGATTATTAATGTACCCCTTTTAGAAGTGTAGATATAGTCATTTGTTCTGGGAATGTCATTTTCGAGCCTGAGACCTGAAAAACAGGCTTGGGGCTTAACAGGTTATCAGGACAACTACACTGAGTTAGAAAGTATATTTTTCATTCAAATTAAAGTTTCAGCGACACATTTCATCCAGCTGTCAGCGGCCCTAAAACAAGGGAATTACATGTGTATAATGTGCTGAAAAACACAAAAAAATATGCAGGGATGTGAGTCTGTTTCTAAGGCCTTTTTTTATTTCGGTAGATTATGATAATTTAAACAAAAGAGAACAGAATCAAACTGAAAACATCAGGAATATTTTCTAGATACATTCATCATTGGTTCTTTGTTTTTAGACCAGAACAGACTGCCAACTCAACAGGAACCATCAAAACATCCCAATCAAAGTTTAAAGGTGGGGTATGTAATTTATTTCAGAAACACTTTTTGTTATATTCCATGGATTGCTCTTAACATCTCGATAGCAATGAATATATTATTATTGCTTTGATAATAAATACATAAAATGTCCTCTGTGGAAGCTGTAGCTCTGTAAAAAGCATGACCAATCATTTTAGCCGGCCCGGCTAAAATAACTGGATGGCCACCTGCCTGTCAGCCTTCCATCTGTGCACAAACTTATCTCGTGCCCTCATTGGTCATGTGCGCGTTTGTGTGTGTTGGAGGAGGCGCTCTGTAAGGAAGTCTGAAGGAAGAGGCAGATTTTTTCCGGTTTTGTACTTTCAAATTCTAGCGCACTCGAGCTGGTTTCTCCAAAATTACATACCCCACCTTTAAGTCACATCATTTGATTAACCAAACAGATTATTCAAGAAACTACCGGATGCAGCTTAACGAGGCTAGCAGTTTAATCCTGGACATAGAATATTTTATAAAAGGAATAACAAGACTATTAAAAAACCATGGTTGAAACATAGCATAGTAGAACAATGATTTTAATTACATTGGGAGAAACAGCATCTCTGTGGCCTTGTTTTGGCATAGTGGGAACGCTGGTTAGAACATAACTGTTAGTCAGATTTAGGAAAATACATGATGGGTTAGGGAGAAAACAGCATCTCTTCACACCAGTACGGTGTCTCTCCAGTGTGAACACGTTGATGTGTTTTGAGAGCACCTGATGTTGTGAACATTTGCCCACACTCTTCACAGCTGTACGGTTTCTCTCCAGTGTGAATACGTTGATGTTTTTTAAGAGGACCTGATTGAGTGAACGTTTTCCTACACTCTTCGCAGCTGTATGGTTTTTCTCCTGTGTGAACACGTTGATGTGTTTTGAGAGCACCTGATGTAGTGAACGTTTTCCCACATTCTTCACAGCTGTACGGTTTTTCTCCTGTGTGAACACGTTGATGTGTTTTGAGAGCACCTGATGTAGTGAACGTTTTCCCACACTCCTCACAGCTGTACGGTTTCTCTCCAGTGTGAATACGTTGATGTGTTTTAAGAGGACCTGATTGAGTGAACGTTTTCCCACATTCTTCACAGCTGTACGGTTTCTCTCCTGTGTGAATACGTTGATGTATTTTGAGAGCACCTGATGTATTGAACGTTAGCCCACACTCTTCACAGCTGTACGGTTTCTCTCCTGTGTGAATACGTTGATGTAATTTGAGACCAGCTGATCTAGTGAAAGTTTTCCCACACTCTTCACAGCTGTACGTTTTTTCTCCTGTATGAATACGCAGGTGGCTCTTTAAAGTTCCAGGTGTTGTAAAGGATTCATCACATTGCTGACAGCTGTGACGTTTCTCTCTTCTTTTTGGTTTCTAAAACAGACAGAGGAAGAGAGAAAGTAAATCTAAAAAGCATAAATACATATAGAGTTGCCACAATAAAAACTCACTTAATACATATACAGTTAACAAAATACTACTTGTACTAACTGTTTGTGTTTATTATATTTGTATTCTATTTGATACAGTAATACGGCAACATTCTACACAGTATATACCAGACGTGGGGGACTCGAGTCACATGACTTGACTCGAGTCGCATATTTTTTGACCCGAGACTTGCTTGACTAACATTGATAAAAGACTCAAATTGACTTTGACTTGGTATTCATGACTTGAGACTTGACTTAGGCTTGAGACAGATGACTCGAAAGGACTTTACTTTTTAAAATAAAATATGTTTTTGTATTGTACGAAGCCCCTAAAGGGCAATGAAAAAAAAGTGCATACATTATTTGAGATATATTTCGAATTCGGACTTCATTTTAGGGACATTTCGACCAGAGGTTTAGAGATATTTGTTTAAGCACAGGGTCGGCAAAACACGAGAGTCTGTGAACCAGTCTGTCTTGATCTATGAATTCATGTCTGTGACTCTCACAGTATCTGCTGCCCGAAGGAAAACCTCCTTCACTTCATGAAATCTCTGCAGCACCAGGAGGCAGTAACGTGTAACTCAGCAGAATCTGAGAAGAGCAGCACCAGCTGCAAAGAGCTGTGCCTTTTACTGCACTGTGTTTACCTTCATTAGAACAGCTAAAGAGCGACCGCAGGCTGCTACATTTTAACCACACACCAATCTGCTTAGGGATGACTTATTAAAGACGCGAAGGTGATGGCCAGGCCAGGTACTGGCATCATGTTTTTCATCTCACTCTAGGGGGGTTATGGTGTTGCTTCACAAGTCTGTTCCGTTCCGAGTGAACAATATTATATCTGATACAGTTGAAAGATATTTGGTGATACAAGGCAGTATGTTAAAATAAATCATCACCTTGGTGAATGTCTATGGCCCAAATGACGACAGTCCCGCTTTTTTTGAGAATCAATTTTTAATGGTTGCATCCCTCCCAGGCAAAGTAATGATGGCAGGTGACTTCAACTGCACTCTATCCCGAAACTCGATCGTTCATCTGTGTTGAAATTAGAAATGAACAGTGGGCAATAACTACAGATGCGTTGGAAATTAATATTTGTTTCGTTCTATAAGAGGCTTTATCAATCTGATTATCCATTGAATTCGGTAAGTCAAAACACTTTCCTAGATGGGCTGTCTTTTCCCAATATTTCTGTAGAAACAAAACTCGCAATGAATAGGCAACTGAACTTAGAAGATATTTCCAATGCCATTCTTAACATGAAAGGTGGTAAGGCCTCAGGACCTGACGGGATCCCAATTTACATGTATACATTTTTCAATGCAAAATTGATAGCCCCATTCTTAAACATGTATGCATGGAATCATTCGAGCAGGGCAGCCTCCCCCTTCGCTACAAAGTGCCTTAATTTTATGACGTCGGCATGACTGGCGGAAGTTACACTTAGAAACCTTATAAACCTATGAGGGCGCTGTAGGACATAAGTGTGTAATGTACATGTTGAGGATGGAAAGTCAATAGGCAGCGTCAGGGGGCGCTGCAGCTCCCCTAGGATAGCCATAGCACTCCCTAAGCACCCCCAAGAAATGTATGTCTTTTTTTTTTGTGTGTGAAATTGATAATTGGAAAAATGATTGATTCGAAAATAATATGCTACAGTACAGTACAAGTACGTCTGGGTCTCTGTTTCATTCAAGCTCGGCTCTGTGTGTGTGTGTGGAACGAGCCATTTTGTGTGCGCGAGAGAGCGAGAAAGAGAGCGCACCGGTACCGGAGATTGTTGTTGTTAGCATCTGGTGCTAGCTAGCTACGCTAACGGATATAAGGAGCTTTTTCAACAACAAGGCGGAGGGAGAACTCTCGCCTGTCAGACTCAGAGGCTCAGTGAACTAAAGGACTCTCTCAGTGTTTAGATAGTTAACTTTAGTCTAAGTTATCTCAGTGGGTCTCAAACGGTTTGGTCGCGATTAATGTAAACAATTATTTCCGAGGCACACGTTTATATGATCATTATAGGTGTGAAAAAATGGGAGAATAAATGAAAAACAGGTATGAAATACTATGACAGTAAAACAACAATAAAGTTTAATAGGGGAGTGATTTGTAAAATATCCATAAAGAAATAGTAAATCTGTTTACAGTTCTGTTTCATATGGGTGTTGAGAGATGTATCCATAGATCTCTTCATTTTGCTCTCAAAGTGCACCAGATTGATGCATTTCACTTTAATATATATTTTTTAATCTTCCCGGGGGAGCATGCCCCCGACCCCCCTAGAGGAGGTTAGGTCCACACACCTATAAAAATAGCATCTACCCCTGCTTACACCTATATGGCGTGAGCTGATTATCGAGCCTTCATTGTAACAGTCGCGGATATACTGTGAATGTGCGTGGGCATTGTTGCAGTAAAAGATTCAACTGTAGCGACCGGTACATTAATGGGAAACCCTAAATGTTTGAGCAGCCTCTATGAAATGTCAAGCTACCCAATAGCACCCCCAAAAGATAATCTCTGGCGCCGCGACTGAGCCTGCAACCCCGTTTTGAAGAACTGTGCAGTGCAAAACAGGCTCATTGCAGCCACTAATGCTGTGATAAGACACACTTTCTTTTGCCAAATATCAGCATTTTCTTTCTTTTCATTTTTTTTCACAGATTGCAAAGTGGCAAAGTATAACTTATTGTTCTAGCAAAGGGATTGCAAAATTGTATTATGTATTTTTTTATTTTTGGAGCACACAGACTTATGGAGCATTGTTTTATTATCACTGTTCTTGCCAAGTGATTTAAAAAAAAAAATGTTTAAAGGAATGCTCACGTTCATATTGATGTATTTTAATAAATGTTAACTTGGCCCATTACGTGACTATTTGTGTTGGGGGGGGCCCGACTTTTTTTTTTCTCCAAAGGGGGGGCCTGATGGAAAAAGTTTGAGAACCACTGGGTTAGGGAAAGAAAAATGGTTAACCTACGCCTTCTACAAGCCAGGCGCTCAATTGCTTTCTGTTGGGAAAATGTTGGTTGCCCCTCCCTGGGCCACAGGTTAAACAATTTAACTTTGAGTCTGGCTCTTGAGAAACTCACATATATACTAAGGAAGAAAGCTTCTGAATTTTACACCATTTGGGAATTGTTTTTGGAATTTATAAAAAGTGGGGACATTGCAGAAGCGATGGAAGGTTAAAGTGAACAGACTAAACTACTGTGAGGAAATGTTGAATTTGGTTAATCTATTTGGAGAATTGTAAGCTGTACTCTGCTCGGTTTGTGGATCTGCTTTTATTGTATTTTTGTTGAATTTGCTAATGTAATTATATTCTTGGTCTGAACTTTAAACTGATTGATGATTCTAGTATCTACACACTTTTTTTAGCATTATTTTGTAATCTGCCATATGTCTAATGTTGGGGAATGTTCGGTTGTGTTTGTGTAATGTGATAAATGTAAAAGATCAATAAATAAATGTTTAAAAAAAAAAAAAAAAATACAGCAACGTTCTAATCACAGTAAATACAGCAACGTTCTAATCTATATCTAACCATATTGTGCTTTAATATTGTATTTTCTAAACAGGTTGTGATCTTTCATTTGGGGATAACAGTGTTAGGAATATATTGTGAGGAAGTGCACACTGACCTGAGCTCCAGGGGTCTCTTTGTTCTCCTCCATGCTGCTCTCAGAGCTCCTTCTCCGGCTGTGTCTCTGAAATAATCAACACAACTACAGCTGAAACAACACAAGATAACTCAATACAACCGACAGACACAACAAAACAAATCTACAGCTACGTCTTAGGTTCATAGCTGAGGTGAGAAGTAACTAAGTACATGTATTCAAGTACTGTAATTAAAGGGGACCTATCATGCAAAATGCACTTTTGTACGTCTTTTCTACATGAATGAAAACACAACCCTCTCTTTTCCTCCATACCCAAATCTCTAAAAACAGGGCTGCAACGGAGCTGATACAGATTTGAATTTATCTGACGTCAGAAAAGGGGTGCTCCGCCTATATGGGCAACTCTCCACCTATCAGGGGAATGAGAGGTTGGGCCACGGCCACTGCCCAACCTCTCATTCGCATATAGGCTGTCGGCAGGCTAAATCTCCCCCAGTCACATCTGTGTTTTTGCCTACTCTTCCCAGGATGTCTAAGGGAGTTAAACGTTGTGCTGTTCAGGGTTCTTACACCTTTTCCAAAGTCAAATTCAAGCACTTTACAAGCATTTTCAAGGTGCATTTTCAAGCTTTTCAAGCATCTTACAGCTGTTGTAAATTACATATTTATATACACATACTTATACTCAAATGATTATTTCCCTACCTTACATTAAATCAGATGTTCTTTATGCTATAAACAACCAAATGTGTGTTTCGTAATAGCATTCTACATGAGGATGAAAAATTAAAAATGTTAGAGAAGAAAACTAAGTTTAATATTTCAAAATGTGTGACCCATCTGTACGTAGACTGGGCATCCCATATAACCTGGCTGAGCCAATATAAAACAATCAGCCAAATAACTTTTCAATATATTATTGATTACTATTTTTGAGGTACTTTTAGGTTGGCAGTAAACATAAGTCAGAGGTAAATGGTGTACTTTTACTCCACTACATGTATTTAATACCTTTAGTTACTTTACAGATGTGGATGAATGATGTGAAATATAATCAAGTGTTAAATGAGACTTTAGTTCCACCTGGAGTAAATTCACAAGCTACTCTGTAGTATACAAAGTCATTCAAACTAGCTGCACCTTTACCAGCTTTGATAACACTTTAATGATCAATCATTATAAAACATATCATATACAATTATGAGGGATGCTCCGATCGCCAATTTTGGGGCCGATCGCCGGAATCAGTATCGGCCGATACCGATCGCCGATCCGATCGAGTGGGCGGGGCCTATGGGGATCTTCCATTTAAAGTGATGTTTAAAACTCAGTTAATGGGGCTCATTCACTGGCGCTTCCACAAACCAACCAACCAACCAACATAATTATTACATTCAAATGAAGTACATTATTCAAGTTTACATTAACTTGGGATAATAACACGGGAGAAATTAGCGGAAGCGCTCTCTTTTCCTCTCTCCCCGTCTCTCTCCCTCCTGACAGCCCGTCAGTATCTCCTGCAGCTCACTGATCCAGTAATGAGTGACCCGACAGTGAAGAATAAATATATTTATAACTAGTTTAGCTTGTTCCAGAGGTAGATCAAATAGCTAAGTGTGTTAGGTCTAACTCTTAATGTGTGTTCTGCTCCGCTCACCGGTCCGTCACAGCGGGTGGAGCTGCAGGATTTCTGCTTCACACAGACGTTGCATACCGCTATTTTATTGTCATTTTCGGACACTTAAAATACTGCCAGACTAGTGAAGCCATTTTGGCGAGCTTGTTTTGCCGCGCACAGAGAAAAGTGTCATGTATTTTACATGCAACGATAGCCTAATCTAAAATGCTCTACGGCGTACCTTTCGTGTGGTGTGTGGCTCGTCAGCGCAGACTCTCGCATCGTTATTGTTGCACAATTTGCAGGAGGCTACTCTTGGGCTTCGCTTGACCCTCGTCTTAGCCATGGCTTGTATTTGTCTTCTGCTAGCCAACGCTCGTTGAAACGGCAACCTCCTGGCATACTCAGGGATGCAAACTCATCAGGTATGAAAAAGGTGACAAGGATCCGAGCCCCCCGACCCCACGGAATATCGGCTTTAAAATGAGGAATAACAGAGGATTTTAGCAGTCAGAACAACTAAAGCAGCAGTTAATAATAACAGAAACGCCAAAGAGTCACATCTAATAGAAATATATTTAAGCATTTATTTTAATTGTGTAGCAGTCAGTTTATAATTTTGGCAGGACTGTTGAGCATTTTGAAAATGTATTTTCATGCCTCTGTGCAAGGCTGTCTTTCTATCTTTATAGCCAGTGGTGTAAAGTAACCAAGTTCATAAACTCAACAAGTACTATACTTGGGTACAATTTTGAGATACTTGTACTTTATTTAAGTATTTCAATGTTTTGCTACTTTGTTCTTCTTCTCCTCTACAGTTCAGAGGTAAATGGTGTACTTTTCCTCCACTACATGTATTTAATACCTTTAGTTACTTTACAGATGTGGATGAATGCTGTGAAATATAATCAAGTGTTAAATCAGACTTTAGTTCCACCTGGAGTAAATTCACAAGCTACCCTGCAGTATACAAAGTCATTCAAACTAGCTGCACCTTTACCAGCTTTGAGAACACTTTCATGATCAATCATTATAAAACATATCATATCTATTATTCTGAAATGGACCAATCTGCACAATGACTACTTTTACTGTCGCTACTTTAACTATATTTTGATGATGATACTTTTCTACTTTTACTTGAGTAACATTTTGAATGCAGGACTTTTACTGTAACAGAGTATTCCTACACTCTGGTACTTCTACTTTTACTCAAGAACAAGATCTGAGTACTTCTACTTGTACTCAAGTACAAGACCTGAGTACTTCAACTTTTACTCAAGAACAAGATCTGAGTACTTCTACTTGTACTCAAGTACAAGACCTGAGTACTTCAACTTTTACTCAAGTACAAGATCTGAGTGCTTCTACTTTTACTCAAGTACAAGATACTTATACCACCTCCGTTTATAGGCTATGAAAGAAACTATTTGAAAACGAAGGCTAAAGCTAACGTTAGCAGATAGTGACAATGTATGCTAGTTAGCTAGCTCAACGATTCATTAAATAATATTGCGACAGAAACACTTTTCAGTGCACATCACGCTCTGCCGCTCCGACAGGGAGCTCTGCTCTGAACACCCCGTTCTAACCAGCGGTCCAGTCTGTGCCACAGTTCTACCGCACAGTTAATATTAACGAACGCACCGTAGGTAATGTAGCTGCTGAAGCTAGACCCTCATCCCGGAGCAGCAGAGCCTTATTATACATCCATGAGCAGAGCTGACAGGCAGGAAGACTTGTATTGTACGCTTCATTATAATATATAAAAAAAGAACACCATGCGTGTCATGATGGCACATAACAGCTCGCGGCCGCAGATTACTCCGGGTCCCAGACTCCCCCCATACCCCAAAAATATTTTTATTGCAGATCTACATGAATCACACAAACGACCTATTTTGGAATCAAAACGGCAAATTTCGCCGAAAGGTGACAAGTTTGCATCCCTGCATACTGTCATCTATCACTCTCATCAGAATGCCCAGGTCACACACGTAACAAAAATACTTGCCGGGAAGGCCGGAGCGGAGCTGTTTTATGTAAAAGCGAAGCAATTAAGCGCGCTCCGACTTCTTTATTTTCTTTTAATCTAAAAAGCGAAGTAAAGCATTTACAATTTCAAGCACTTTGTCCCAAATTCAAGCACCATTCCCAAAATTCAAGCACTTTTCAAACCTTGAAACCACCTCGTACAATTTCAAGCATTTTCAAGGACCCGTCAGGGACCCGCACCCGTACGCACCCTGGCTGTTGTTGGCTGCAAGAATCGGGACAAGGGACTGCATGCAATGCCATCCCTGGAAAAAGACAAGAATCTGTGGCTAGACTTCATTTTCAAGGGACATGTGCCAGAAGACTCCGGCAGATTTCTGCTTGTGTGTTCTAAACATTTTACCACGGACATGTTTATGAACTTCACTCAAGTCAAAGAAGGATAAAACAAATATTCTATGTATTATTCTCTATATAATAATATAAGAATAATACACGGAGGACGGAGCCTCTCTTTTCCTCCCCCTCTTCTGAGAGCTCAGCAGCTGATCTGCGAGCACGCTCCCCTCTCCTGCAGGGGGGCGTGGTCAGCTGCAGCTCATTTGCATAAAAGCTATGTCACAGAATCAGCCCTTGCAAAAACAGGGCTGGAAAAGAGCAAATAGAGCAAAATGAGGCATGGCTAAAATGCATGATCTGTTTGGTATTTTGAAAAAAAACCTTCACAGACATGTTTTATATACACTGTAAAAAAAGATCGTAATTTTACAGGAAATAACTGTAAATTTTTATAGTAATTATCATGTTTTTTTAAATAACTTGCAAAATCCTGTAAAATGACAGATATTAACTATAAATTAACAACCCAAAACATTATTTTAAGTATTTTGACAATAACAACAAATAACGATTATTTCATTTTTTTTTACAGTAAATTTACTATATAATATTTACAGTATTTTTGCACTTTCAGAAAATACATGCAGATGTACGTAAAATAAAAAGTATTATCTGTAATTAAATATGTAACTCGTAAAAAAGTGTATTACTATTATAAGACTTTAAGATATTTCTTTGTAATTTTAAGGTAAACATAAAACTGTAAAAAAAAGCGTCAAACAAAAAAAATGTAAAGTAAAACATTTTTACATAAATCATTTTCTCAATATTCGATTGAATCCACCACAAACACAAAATATCCAATGTTGAAACAAAAGTAAATAAATATGTTTTCATTAAATTCCTAACTTACTATATTGTAAACATCTACAGTTGACAATATCATTAAAAAAAATAAAAATCTTAGAAAGTGGAGAAATCTCTGCAGGGAGGACCCAGGTTTAAAACACACACTGTTATTTACTCAACAATAAGTCACAGTTATCCTTGTTTTATTTATGTGTTCTGTTGCTGTGTTTTTTTTCCCATTGGTCAATATACAGTAATAAGCCTTAGTCTTTCATGCAGTATA